TTGCTAGTGTATAATGAAGATAACACTGTATTCTCTAGCGGTAGTATTGTTTATACTAAATAACATGTTAGACACATTGTTGGTACCTGCTAGTATATAACAAAGATAACACCGTAGTTTATAGCTGTAGTATTGTTTATAGTAAATAATATGTTATACACATTGTTGGTGCTTGCTAATGTATAATAAAGATAACACTGTATTTTATAGCTATAGTATTGTTTATAGCACTTTCTGTTTATGAAAAACACTCACGCGGTTTCGCCCTAGTTAATAGATTTATAAATGACACAAAATAACTATAGCGTTGTAGTGTTTCCTATAAAGGATGTAAACGCCAGTTCTGTTTCAAATATATGTTAGAAAATGACTCTGAATAACTGTAGCGTTGTAATGTTTACTGTAAATGATGTAAACGACAGTTCTGTTTCAAATATATGTGCTAGAAAATGACTTTGAATAGCAATAGCGTTGTATTGTTTGCAATAGAGACGTCAAACAACAATTCCGTCTAAAGAGTGTAATGTAAGTGTCATCATAGGTAATCAAAATTTTGGGGATTTATTTTTTCTAGATCGAATATTTCGTTTTTAAATGACGCGATAGTAAGTAGTATTGGTGTCTTCAATACCAAAATATTAATATTGCTATTAGTCTCCTCTGCTACACGTATTAATGTTTCCAATATGGTTGATGGTTGATAAATTACACTAGCGTTCCTGATAAGTTCCCGAATAGTCGTGTTCCAAATGTATACTATACATATAGTAGGATTTCTATTTACTTAGCTAGAAAACACAGTGCTCGTTTCATTATAGTTTAGTAAGCAGCAGAAGTGTTTCCGATGTATTATAGTATACTATACAACAGCGTAGCCAGCACAGTATTAATCATTATATTTTAAGAAATTGTTCAACAGTTCTTATATGTAGCTCTATAAAACGTTTACGTTTCACATCGTTAAGATATTCTTTAGTATTTCAAGCATTGAAATGAACATCTGATATTATTTGAAAAACATTTCGGCAGTTCTGTTTCAACTATATGCTGGAAAAATGATGTAACCCATTATTAGGTCTAAGCACAAACATATAACGGAATTAATATAACTAGTATCACATCGTGACGTGCGGTTTACTTTTCGCATTATTAGGTCTAAGCACAAACATATATAACTGAATTAATATAACTAGTATCACATCGTGATGTGCGGTTTACTTTTCACATTATTAGGTCTAAGCACAAACATATGACGGTAATAATATCTAAATTTTAAATAAATCGGAATAAGAAAGATAATTTTTCGTTTGCAGTACCATTGTTTGTTTTTTTCAGTCTGTGTACTTTACAAATGTACTGCTCATCTATTCTTATAGATTGGTTTGGAACAGCTGAAAATTACAAATAATAAGTTTACTAGAATAACTAAATTTTGGGACACGTTGTACTTATGAGATGCAGGATACGTTTCTAGAATCTTTGACAGAAAACCCCTCTTTATTGTTTTATCTTGAAATACAATTAGTTTAAAATACCGCTTTTACATATAACAATAGCTCCAGAATATATTTTTTTCAGTAATAAACATTAAGAAGTTTTGAATTATTATATCTTTAATATACTTATTGCAGTGCATTCCATATAATTCATTTTGGAAATTATTGGCTTAGAAAATATATATATATACATGCTACGGCCATTAAATCAATTTTTCTTTCTTGATTTATCTATTTCATTCTTTTTCGATTCAACACGTCATTTTCGAACTTCGTAAAACATGAAGGCTTAACATGTTTGAATTATTATCTTTTAAAGATCAAAGCGAAGTTTATGCTTGTGGTGTCCCTTGTTGCATGAAAATCAGGTCTTCAGACAGCGGGAGTTGTTTTTCTTGGAGAAAAAGGCAGATAAACGGCATGCTGGCCTCACTGTAATGTGGTATGAAGAATTTAAGGAGTACAATTAAGATTTGTAGCCCTACAGACAATGATCCGCCCATGATTCGTGATATCCATCTGCTATGTGATTAACTTCTACCTGTAAGATATATGTAACAGGTAAAGGTTAAGAAGAGTACAATGAATCATTCATGTAGAGAAACACAAAATGAAAGGAAGTATTTGACATTAATCATTGATAGCTAATGACATTTGAACTCTATGTGTTACTTGAACCAGTCGACAAACTTAACGAACAAATATATACGTTACTTACAAATACTTGTGTTTTAATTGGTTACTTTATAACGCACTGATTACTACATCCCAAGTGTCAATAAGTTGAGAACGTTAACTGGGTTTGTTCGGGTGACTCGTGCATTCTTAAGTCTAGATTTATTGATTTTTGTTTTGATCTTACCTTCTATTTACTTAATGTTTTGTTTGGTTGGTTGTTTTAGGTTCACTAAATAAAATTACACTACCAGGTTAGCTCCACACACATACATATATATGTTCATAATTCAAGCTTTCTAACTCATGAATAAACTTGAAAGCTTGCTATAATAGTTTTAGAACGAAGCCTGGATATATAATGTTATGGAAGTATTACACATTTAAGAATTACTTTCACTCTTGCGGAAGTTTTCGCAAACAGAAAAAAAAGTTCCAACGTTTTATACACAAAATAAAGACCTTATCTTTTCTTTGTTGTTGTTTTCATAATTATAAAAAATGCATGAAAAGAATTTTTTTAACTTGGATTACACGTCCTTATTTCTTAATAAGAATACACTTAGTTATTCTCTAGAAACAACTAAAACCAACAAGTACAATATCTGTATTATTATCAATATCTATAGCTTACATAAGTAGGATAAGTTTGTGCATGTATAAAAACTCAATTTCAAATATATGCTGGTAAAAATGACATTGAATAACTGTAGCGTTGTAATGATTCATATAAAGGATGTAAACGTTAGTTCTGTTTCAAATATATGCTGGTAAAAATGACATTGAATAACTGTAGCGTTGTAATGATTCATATAAAGGATGTAAACGTCAGTTCTGTTTCAAATATATGCTGGTAAAAATGACATTGAATAACTGTATCGTCGTAGTGTTTACTAAAAATGATGTAACCGGCAGTTCTGTTTCAACTATATGCTGTTAAAAATGACACTGAATAACTGTAGCGTTGTAATTTTTCCTATAAAAGACGTAAACGGCAATTCTGTTTCAAATATACGCTGGTAAAAATGACATTGAATAACTGTAGCATTGTAATGTTTCCTATTGAAAAGTATACTGCACGTCACGATGTGATACTAGTTATATTAATTCAGTTATATATGTTTGTGCTTAGACCTAATAATGCGAAAATAAACCGCACATCACGATGTGATACTAGTTATATTAATTCAGTTATATATGTTTGTGCTTAGACCTAATAATGTGAAAAGTAAACCGCACATCACGATGTGATACTAGTTATATTAATTCAGTTATATATGTTTGTGCTTAGACCTAATAATGCGAAAAGTAATCGCACATCACGATGTGATACTAGTTATATTAATTCAGTTATATATGTTTGTGATTAGACCTAATAATGTGAAAAGTAAACTGCACGTTACGATGTGGTATTAGCTCTAAGTTAATGTTGTAATCTTATCTGAAGCAGTAGAGTAACATTAGCTCGTACACACATTTCAGCGATGTGTTTTGGAAAGAAAGCAGTGCAAGCGGCTCGGAGATCTAAGCCTAAAAGACTATTTTCAGATTAAAAGTATTATAACAATTTTGATCAGACTTTG